ATATATATATATATATATATATATACACACACACACACACACACACACACACACAAACACAAAACCCACAAAACATTCTCCATTCAGAGTAATACCTAAGTCAAATACTATATACTTCAATTTGAAGAAAAGTTGGCAGTGTGATTAAATGTGACTACATTTCTTTTCCTTTCAGAGCTGCATGTAGCATTTAAAGAGTTTGACTATGACCAGGACGGGTATTTGCACTACAAAGATGTCGCAGACTGCATGAGAACCATGGGATACATGCCAACAGAGATGGAACTGATTGAGATCATTCAGCAGATAAAAATGAAATGTGAGTGTGTGCGTGTGTGTGTGTGTACTGGTATATATGGTTTATGAGGACACAAATGTGTATAATGACATGGGTACTACAACGTAAACATGGTTTATGAGGACACTTCCTGTGTCCCCGTAAAACAAAAGGCTTAAAAAACATACAAAATGCTGTTTTATGAAATTCAAAAATTGCAAGTAGTTTTCTGTGAGGGGTAGGTTTAGGTGTAGGGTTGGTGTAGGGCGATAGAAAATACAGTTTGTACAGTATAAAAAACATTACGCCTATGGAGAGTCCCCATAAACCACAAATGCAAGTATATGTGTGTGTGTGTGTTTGGGGCCAGTAAGATCTTTTTAGAAGTTTTAATAATTTTACTCAGCAAGGATGCATTAAACGGATCAAAAGTGACAGTAAAGACAAAAGTTTTCAATTTCAAATAAATGCTGTTCGTTTGAACTTTCTATTCATCAAAGAATACTGAAAAAACTATCAGTGTTTCTACAAAAATATTAAACAGCACAAATGTTTTCAATATTGATAATAATAAAAATGTTTCTTGAACAGAAAATCAGCATATTAGAATGATTTCTGAAGGATCTATTTTAAGTTGGAATAACATTTCACAATATTTCTGTTTTTACTGTATTTTTGATCAAATAAATGCAGACTTGATGAACATAAGAGACAAACATAAAAATATCTAACCAACCCCAACCTGCTGAACAGCAGTGTAAATCAGATTAAAAGTAAAGATAAATGTGTCTATGTGGTGTTTTTGTGGTTATAGGGGGAGGCCATGTGGACTTTGATGATTTCTGTGAATTAATGGGGCCCAGGATGCTGGCTGAAACCGCTCATATGGTGGGTCTAAGGGAGCTGCACTGTGCTTTCAAACAGGTGAGTATGCACTCTAAAGTTCCCTTCAAAGGGAGCTCACTTTAAAGTGTACATTAAATAGAGAACAAAACGCCACAAACATCAAAACATCATTACCTTGCATCTTTTTCCAACCCATAAATAATATTACCTCTCCATAAAACTCTGCATTCCTCTCTGCCTCTCTTAGTTTGACTGTGACGGTGATGGACGGATCACCTTTGAGGAGCTGAAGGAGTCCACAAAGACGCTGCTCGGGGAGAAACTGAAGAAGGGAGAACTGGAAGAAATTCTGACAGACATCGACCTCAATGGAGATGGGAACGTGGACTTTGATGGTAAGGAAGGCAGCATCCTTTTTGAACGCACTACTCTGTTGAGCTGAATAGATCATAGCACAAGTTCAAACTCAAATCACTGAGCAGCAAACAAACAAAAAGCTGGAACTTGTATCGTAACAAATGCAAAACAATAACCATTTAACTTGTGTACAACAAGTCCCTTAAAGGGTTAGTTCACCCAAAAATTAAAATTAGCCCATAAATTACTCACCCTCAAGTCATCCTAGGTGTAT